CGCAGAGGAAGGCGCATTGAGGGTCGCATTATTAAGGTGGGCGCGAATGCTGTTTGAGAGCGTCAAGCTGGCGGAGTTGGCCCGGACGGAGAAACAAATTCAAGAAAGGCACTGGTCACGTGTCGGTGATCTTGATGCTTGGCATTTTGGTGTTCTGCCCTTCATCAAGGCTAGGAGTTTGATATTATAAATAAAATACTTTACGCAAATGGAATTGCATATTGTGTTTTGTTCTATCTGTTTCTTTTTCTTATGTTTTTCAAAAGCTCCACAGTCGATGTTCAATATTCGATGCTATTTCATATGTGTACAACCTTGCCAAAACTGCCAGTAACTGCAGACCAAAAGAAAAAAGAAATGTAGCACAATTATATCTTATTTTTCACTAGTAGAGGGTACACTACACTCAGCATATGATACACCTCAAGAATATCTCTTGGATCCTATCCTCAAGTCTTCGGGGCTACATTATGTAGTCGGACAAGGGAAAACAATCATTCATAGAATCATAGTATGCGAACTGTATATACACATGCACCGCTGGTAAAATACTAAGCAAAATCGACAAAAAGAACATTTTGTGCATAGCAAGTAAAACAATTTACTCACGGACAAACATGCCCGCCATACCCATACCCGTACCAATGCACATACTAATCACACCGATCTCCTGGCCACTGCGCTCCAACTCAGGAAGTAGGGTAGCGAGTTGACGAGCACCAGTAGCACCGAGGGGATGGCCGATAGCAATAGCACCACCGTTAGGGTTAACCTTCGCCTGATCGATACCAAGCTTGCGAACACTGTAGAGCGCCTGCGAGGCGAAAGCCTCGTTAATCTCCCAAACACCAACCTCGGGAACCTCAACACCAACAGCCTGCAGAAGCTTAGGAATGGCAACAGCAGGGCCAACGCCCATCTCATCGGGGGCACAGCCCGCGACAGCAGACGCGACCCAGCGCGCTTTGATCGAACCAGACAGACCCAGCTCCTCAGCGGTGGACCGACGCATCAACAAAGCAGCAGCGGCACCGTCGCTAACCTGCGAACTGTTACCGGCGGTGCTGGCACCGGTAGGCGAGAACGCGGGCTTGAGTGCGCCTACCTTCTCGAGGGACAGTCCGTGGCGGATACCGTCATCCTGGGAGACTGTCACGTCCTTGGCGGGGGCATCTGGGTTCTCGGGGTCGAGGGTCTTGGTAGTGACAGAGACAATCTCGGAGTCGAAGCGGCCAGCCTTCTGTGCGGCGGAGGCCTTTGCGTGGGACTCGACAGCGAAAGCGTCCTGGTCTGCGCGGGAAACACCGTAGCGGGACGCGACATTCTCCGAAGTGATTCCCATGGGCATGATGCAGTCACGGGCATCCTGGGAATAGGACTCCTTGAGCTCGGGCCAGAGGACTGTGGGGATGGCGCGGGAGCCGTAGTTGCGAGTCATGGATTCCATGCCGCCGCCGACGCCAACATTAATAGCGCCGGCACGGATGCCGTTGGCGATTGTTGTGATCGCTGCCAGGCCGGATGAGCATTGGCGGTTGATTGTGTTGAAGGGCACGGAGTGAGGGAAGCCGGCGTGGATCTGGCCCATGCGGCCGGCTTTGGCGCCGCCGAGTTCTTGTAGGACGGAGCCGATGAGCACATCGTCGATCTGAGCGGGGTCCAAGTTCGGGTTTGCCTTCAGTGTTGCTTGCAGCACGCTAGCGAGTAGCTCTTCTGGGTAGGCGTCCTTGAAACCACCCTTCTTAGCGCGGGTGACCGGTGTGCGCAGCGAGGAGAGGATGACGATGTCATTGGGGGACTTCTGAAGTACTTGGCGGAGCCCGCGGGGAATCGGAGAAGCCATGATTTTGTAGGTCGATTGGATTGTTTGGAATTAGTTGGAAGTTGTATACCGAGGGTCAAGGGTATTTCCGGTCTTTCGCGGCGCTGTTAGTTTCGACTTGAATATCATGCTCTGGGGTAGTGACTTACATCTGTATAATGGCTAAAGTATGCAACAAAGAGAAAAGAGATAAACCGGCAACAATTCATTCCAACACTCCCCGGGACACCAGAATTACTTATAAGCAAATGCCGGGCAAAATTCCGGGGTCGGATGTAGTTTGGTCGACTACCGTTCCTGGGTGGCCGCGGCACTGAAGATCGGCTAAGCGGTTTCCCGCGAAATGTGGGGAGAAGTTGTGGGATGTTCCAACTTCTAGTTATATATTCTAGTCTGTTTTAAGTCTTGCTAATTATTTCTACAAAAATTTCTCTGGATATTCTATAATACTAAATTATCCTAATGGCCGCCATGCAACTCTTGAGATATACATCGAGACCCATCGGATGCTTATGTCAGCTATTTCGGTTCGGCACTTTGGAACCGGAAGCCAAGCCGAGGATAATGTCGACATTCCCGAATTTGATATCTTTGGATTCATTTAGAAATTGTGTGATGAACTGATTGATAACCCTTATGAGGGGTACATATGTGGTTCCCCTTGCTCATTACTCCATGAAAGCCATCTTTGCCAGGCAAGAAGCCTCCAGGTTGTTCTCCTTGGACACAAGCCAGAACTTAACCTGAACGACCATTTCAACCATGGTGATGCCAGCTTCTGCCAGTTTGAACATATCAGCATTGGCCACCGGGGCTCCCTTGCAAGTCTTCCATCCATTCTTCTTCCACTTGGGTAGCCACTCCGTCAAGCTGCGGACCAGGTACTCGGAGTCTGTTTTGATAACGAAGGTATTCAACGGCATGGGGACTTTGCCCTTGCGCATCATATTGCGGCGTTTTTCGATGATGGAGGTTGCATTGCGCAATGCCCGCAGGCATGCGGTCAACTCAGCGATCTGGGTCGTGTGGCTGTGGTCGTCCTTACCTGGAATGGGCCAGGAGATGTTGCCAGCGTTGCCACGGCCGTAGAATACTCCGATTGCCGAACGCTTTCTAGTCTTTTCAGTGAGACATTCTCCATGAATGGCGATGATCAGGGAGTCTTCGTGGCCTTCGTATTGTTTGCAGTCCAGGCATTTACGAGTCGAAGTGGGACATGCAAGACACATCCACGAGCCGATGTCGATTTCCATTTCCTTCAAGGTGAAGCGGGTGGGGTATTCGTCCTCGGCACGGAAGCGGCGGTCTGCAGGAGTTATCTCTCCAGTCTTCTCGGAAGAGCCACCTACGTGGTGGCGGCTGCCCTTGGTGGTTGGACCATGTGCAGTAGAGCTGTGCACGCAAACCTCCCTTCTCTAGCCACAATGATCAGTATGTGAAAGCATGGTTTTTGTGCAGCGAGAAAAGGCGAGGGAGATTCTTCCAAGATTATCCTGAGGTCAGGACCAGTGTGCTTACCTGAGATGCATGGTGGGCCTTCTCTTTCTGGGGTATCTGTGACTCTCGGGGCACGTGAGCCAATTCCAACACCTCAGATTCCTTGAGCTTCTTTTTCTTCGTACTGATGCGAACAGGAGCAACACTTCCAGGCATCGTGGCCGAAGGTGCTTTCTAAGAGATGAAGTGTAGTCAGTCAAGAGAGTTGAGGTGAGGAAGAAAGAAAGGAAAGATTAAAAATCAAGAGGGGCAGTTGAAAACAAAGGTAGATGGGAGATGGGAAGAATGAGAAGGACAATCACAGTCAAAGCAGGTAGAGTCTAGAAGCAAACAAAAGTGTACCTGCTTCTTGTCAACATTTCATGTGGCCCCGAGGTATATTTCAGCAAAGTTGTAGTGCTCCCTTATGAAGGCTACAGAATTAAGTCCTGAACACATCAAAATAAGAATCAAGGTCAGCTTTTAAGAAGAACTAAATATCCCATCGAAATAGAACAAAGAGTTGCAGCTTGTCCCACTCTTAGGTTGAGATAACGCTCATGCCATTAAGCGAATCAGCGCTGTAACAAACACAATGCCAAGAAAAGAAATTAGTTAGAAGTCGACGTCGCAGCAAGGTACTATAGGCGAATTACGAGTGTGAAACTTCTACGTGGGGGCGACAGCTTAGTGCTGTGTTGAGCTGGCTGGAGCATCAAAGGAGAGGCGCTGGTGATGTTTAGGGAATAGCTCGTAAAATTGGTAGAGCAACCGAGATCCTATAAATAGGACCAGATATCGAGAGGTCGAGGTATGTAGTGTAATAGAAAATGAATTCATTATTTGAAGAAGCTAAGTTCAGAAATAGAGTGGAAATTGAATACGAGGCCATGAGCGCCATTCATGTCATGTCATTCACAGGCGAAGTCATTTCGTTCATAGAAATCATGGGTCGAATGAATCAAATAAGAAAATATGGCTGATATGACCATGAGTCCAGTGATGACATTGAGGGCAACCTCAGCGAAATCACCAGAATAAAGCGGGTTTCTTGTCGACAAACCTGGCTCGGACCCACGTGTCCCTGGCCATTCTCGACTGTCACGTGTGAAGAATCCGCACGGGTACCTTGCGTATAAGGTCCGATCGCCTCGATAATGATAACGATAACGATAATGGTGGCCCGATAACGAAAGAACTCGGGAGCTCCGAAAATCATGTGTGGAGATCGCGATAAGGGTGTCCCTAACGAATGTTAGGGCCTATATATATACCGCTGCAGAGACAAACAGATATTCTGTTTGTCTTCATGATCTTTTGGCCTAGCGGTCAAATGCTCTTATATGATCCCATAGGAGTAGCGGCCTGAGTTGACCTGGGATTAAGGGAATGTCACACCTTGGAAGGGAGTAGTGCGAGACTTTCCATCCGGCCGGCCGAAGTACTGGACTCGGGTGCGGATTCGAGGGACGGGGAAAGATCGGGGGTTGAAGCAAAAAGAACGACCACTGCGAGTCCGAGTCCGTCATAAAACTGTAGTCGTACCAGGTCTGGGTAACCACTCTGTAGTCATTCTCGTTGACTGGATCGACAGAGCGAGTGTATGGGAGTGGCCAGCTCACTCCACGGTATTTGATGCACCGTCCTTGTCATTGGGGTTAGAAAGACGAGGGTTAAACTTCACTGTAGACTAGGTACTTTCTTAGGTGCCAGAGAAGAGAAATGGGCCCTGGGTGGGAGTGGCCTCGGAAGGCTCGTTGATGTTGAGGGATTTGTTGATTAAGGTGTGCAGAATGAGCGAGGGCTGGCTAGCCCTTTGGGCCAGGTGGGGAGAGAGATCGCCATTAGCCAATTTGGTGAGGGTGGGCTTGGGTTCATTGACGTTCAGCGCCTGGCTGTGCTGGGCCACAAATGGAGACAAATTGACCCCATTGGCCAGATGGGTTGGCAGGGTCGGAGGAAGGTATTGAGTCCAGGGGCGCAGGACGGCAAACTCTCTGTCTTCAATTAGTGGCTGGGATGGGTGGAGAGAGAGAGGGATGTGACTTACCTTTTGCGTTTGAGTGCTCCAGGCCCTCAAGGGCTCGCTTTGAAAATCACCTCATTACCAGAGTTCCAGGTAATGGAATGCAAGGGAAAGAGGTTAGGAAAGAACGTATCATCAAGGAAGTACAAGTACATACATATGTAGATTATATAGTCCTGGAGGGGTTAGGCTTCCAACGTTGGTTTGGACCATTCCGAGAGGAAAAATAGGAATTAGCTTAATTAACTTAAGTAACTTAATTAACTTAATTAGATAGATTGTTAATTCGAGATTTCTCTAATTCGAATGAGAATTACTTTGGTTGGATCTCACTGTTGTTTTAGATATTCTTCCATTGTTCTCTTCTCTTCTATTGATCATTACCCGATTGGGTCACCTCTACATGATACATCAACCACACATTGGACCAATCAAGTGATGCATAAGAGAATGAAGGGCTACGGAGTAGTACGAAACTATATGACATGATATGCAGGTCGGAGGCCTGTCGGTGAAAAAGCAGTAGGACAATCGTTATACACTACGAAGTACTTCCATTGTGTGTGGTCATCCCCGGCCCGGTGATTGGATCTCTCATAATATGCACTCGCCAGCCAGATCTACATTCTCCTACAGAGCCGTACAAGCTGAACATGCAGTAAATAACAGGATTAATTTTTTATATTTAAAATCAATACATGTAATACATTTTGAAAATAAAAACTAAAGAGCCATAAATAGATTTATGTACTTGCCAGTACAAAAACCCATCCCTTGTCCCACGAAATCACTTGGCCCACTTTTGCCTCTTAATTTTTGTCTCGCCATTTTTCCCCTTGACACGGTCCAACTTTGTGAGTCATTTCTTCTGATTTAAAGGATTTCGGTCCAAGAGAGTCTTCTTCTATAATCCTCTATATAATTTATACTAATCACCACTAGTGTTTCTTGAACATCATGCCTCTCATCAACACTACTGAAGTCAATGAGGACACTCGTGGTATGTGGAATTGTGGCCCAAAGCCACGTATGTGATACTGATGGTCTCTTCTGTAGTCCTTGGATACGACCCATTGCTGTCGCCCTACTTCTTGCAGAATGAGATCCCCGCGGTGAGTCAATGGTTTTTTTTTTTTTTCTTCACCCCCGCTCTTTGCGGGGACATGGCAAAACTTCCAAGCGCACCAACTGACAGCAATTGTCTGTATAGCCCACTCGTGCCATTGATACAGTCCGTGCCGGCCGGAACCAAGCAGTCGAGATCATTGAACAGCGCGATGACCGCCTGCTCGTCGTTGTCGGACCATGCTCCATCCACGACCCCGACACCGCACTTGAGTACGCCCGCCGACTCAAGGAGCTCTCCGTAAAATTGGAGAAGGACCTCTGCGTGATCATGCGTGCCTACCTGGAGAAGCCCCGCACAACGGTCGGCTGGAAGGGACTGATCAACGATCCCGATATCGACGAGACCTTCGACATCAACAAGGGTCTGCGCGTCTCCCGTAAGCTGTACACCGACCTGACCAGCACCGGACTCCCCATCGCCTCCGAGATGCTCGACACCATCTCCCCTCAGTACCTGGCAGACCTGATCTCTCTGGGCGCGATCGGCGCCCGCACCACCGAGTCTCAGCTTCATCGCGAGCTCGCCTCGGGTCTGTCCTTCCCCATCGGCTACAAGAACGGCACCGACGGTAACCTGACCGTCGCCGTCGACGCCATCGGTGCCGCCTCGCACCCCCACCGCTTCCTCGGTGTCACCAAGCAGGGCCTGGCTGCCATCACCAAGACCTCCGGTAACGAGCACGGTTTCGTCATCCTGCGTGGTGGTAACAGAGGTACCAACTACGACCGCGCTAGCATCAAGGCTGCCCGCGAGGCTCTCCGCTCCAAGAAGCAGCGTGAGGTCCTCATGGTCGACTGCTCGCACGGTAACTCCAACAAGAACCACCTTAATCAGCCCCTCGTCGCCAAGGAGGTCTCCGACCAGCTCCGTGAGGGTGAATCTGGTATCATCGGTGTCATGATCGAGTCAAACATCTACGAGGGTAACCAGAAGGTTCCCCCCGAGGGACCGGAGGCTCTTCTCCGCGGTGTCAGCATCACTGATGCTTGCATCAACTGGGAGATGACCGTCGACGTGCTCGAGGACCTTGCTGATGGTGTTCGTGCTCGTCGTACTGCCCGTAAAGCGCAGCAGTAGAGGGTTATTTTCTTTTTCTCTAGATGATGCCCTTCTTGTCTCTGATTTTTATAGCCCTTCTTATGTGGAGGGGAGGGAGAACGGGTCTGGCATAGATACCTCATTTCGGTGCCTGTTTGTTTCTTTTTCTCGGGTTTTCAGCGTTTTTCCATTGTACTTTTTTTTTTCCAGCTTGTTTCTTGGAGAGCACCCTTGGGATTCATGTGTGAATGTGTAGTCGGTGTCAAAAAAACATTTATGAGGGTTTTGCGTTTCGCTGGGACTGAGGATTTCATTAGTATCAGTGGACAAAAGTTTTAGGAACGTGATCAAAGACTGAATCTGCTTTTCTATATTTTTCTTTTCCAGGGTCTACCCTCTACTTATAAGAATCCTTTATTTTTTTCTGCTCCACTACATGCATTGACCATGTGTGGTTCCTGAGCCCGCGGCAAAGCGCTTCTCCGGTGTTGGGGATGGATCCCTCCCTTTTTGGGGATTAGTGCGGAAACTTAGGTTAGAAAGGTCTGTTTCGGTGAAAATCGCTGTTAAGAAGTGATCTATTAGTGGGTAACTAGTGAGGGTGGTAGTACCTACATGTAGTATACACCATATGTTACATTGTAGGGATCTGAAGATGGATACGGAGTAGAAATGAGAGCAGATAGAAGCAGATCTATGTACTGTACACGATATACATGGAAGCCCGCCCGTCCACCCCCTTCGGAGTGTCAGGACAGACTATATTGACTAGGAACACATTCCAGAAAGATAAAATAAGAAACGCCGGAAACCCCCTGGGAGAATGGAAACAGGCCACGATAAAAGATCGCGACTTGCTATGCAAGAGAGAAAAAGGTATTGCAGATGGTGCGAAGTGAAGATCAGCGAAGGGAGAGAGGTGGATCCAGATTATGTCCGCTGGTAGATGGAAATCAGATCAGCATTGCATTCGAGGACGTTATGCCACTCGGCCCGTCCATTTCACCCTTCGCTCTTTTTGTTTACTTGGAGGACCAAAGGTGACACCCATCTACCGCCCCGTCAACCAGCCAGTCCAGCTCGATGTCTTGGTCTTCGCAGCTTGTTCCACGTTCTCAGCCAGCACATCCAACTGACCAGGCAAAGGAGCGCCAGTCTTCGCTGCTGCTGCATCTAGAGCTTGCTTAGCCTGCACGGCCTCCATAACACTGCCTTGGGCATTATCGGCACCCTCAATAGCCAAGCCTGATGCAGATGTCGGTGCAGTGTTGGCACCGGTGTCTTCCATGTTCAGCTTCTCGAAGAGGAATCGCTTCGCCTTGGCCCAGGGTTTCTGTGCCTTTTCCTCCTCGCGCTTCTGCTTCATAATTTCACCGATCTTCTCTTTCTTCAAGAGCTCTTGCTGTTCGGCAGTTGCGGTGCCGTTGGCGTACGCGACCTCGGCATCCTTGAGAGTCGCAAGTTCCTTCTCGATCCAAAGCGTGCGTTGGCGGCGGTTATAGAGCGTGAGCGAGACCATTGAATAGACCGTAAGAACACCGCAGATACCTAGTATGATCCAGAAGAATTAGTATAAATCCGGTAGGGGTGAATTCGGGGGTCCGTTGATTGTCATCGCTGACTCGGACTTCGAAGCATCGTATGTTGTTTGCTGGTATTTTGCTCCTCTTACACCACGGGGCAGGAAACATACCGGACGCGGCAATCAATGAATAGACCATTCCCTTGTGCGCTTTATTGGCGAACTTCCGCCCAGACTCAATCCATCGATCCGCTCCGCTTCCAGCTGCCTGTGACTTCCGAGCAGCCCGTGCCTGTGCTCGCAGTCGTTCCACCTTCTCCTTGGGTGTCTCCGGTTGGCCATTCGGGCCAAGTTGCTGTGGTGATGACTTCGTGCTGGTGTTCTTCTTTCCAAAATCTGGGGCCTGGTACGCGCCGCCGGTCTTGGAGTTGGCGTAGGGCCCGGTGGCCGTGAACCGAGTTGCGTCTGCGGCGGATCGGGACATGTTGGGAGTTCCCGGTTTCGGGGGGTAGACCTCAATATAGGGATTGAGAATCAAATTAATATTACTGGAAATTGGCCGGAGGCAATTGGAGGGCCGTGGTGGGGTGATGGAGCTGGAGACAGTTGATAAACCGGGGGATTTGCAGGTTGAAGGTAAATTTTCAGCACGGGAGATGCGCCAAGACATCCAAACAGCTTCAACTGATACGGCTTCAATCTGCTTTCGGTTCTTTCTGTTCTCTAAGTTCATTCTGGGGGGATTTTTTAAAAAAAAATCATATGTTATCAATAAATTATCCCACTTATTCTTTTTGCAAAGATTGACTGGCCTCTCTAAACACATCCCTTCTGTATCTTTATTCTGATATATATCCCTCGTCGACCCTCTTTGGAACACTTGACATCTACATCCATCTCCACTCACCACTTTTAATCTTTATTTATCAATTAGTCTATCGGGGCTGATATATCGATAAGCAACTTTTGGACCAACATACACATCTTCCAAGGTCCCATCGGGAGGCTCTACTACTGCTCCAATATGGGAGACGGCTTCTACAACGCCTCGGACCTGAACTCAGTCCTCAGCACCTTGTCTAATCTAGCTTCTCAGGGACAAGGCAGCTCTAACCAGCATGTACCCACACCTATTCATCCGCCAAAAATCATATCGTCTAAATCCAAGCTTTCGGAAGATCCACAACCGCCGCAGCCAAGGATAACGAGACCGTTCACTTCTACTTCTGCATCTGACTCGTCAACTATCACAACTTGGCCTGCAGCACTAAAACATGTGATGCGCACCGTGGGTCAAAATGAAGAAACTCAAGCGCGCATTCGCGGCGTGATCCGAAGTCAACACCGTCATGAACAACAATGGTTCCAAGCCCGTGAGGCACTATTGAAGCAGCAGCAGGGTCGTCCTGCGAAACAGAGGGAGCTAGATGCAGTTCTGTGAGTTTATCCCTATGCTACTGCTCTGCAGTGTTTTATTATTGACTAATCACTAACGCTAAACAAAAAGGAGGTCGATCGGTGCCCCTGTAAAAGAGGAAGATGGCTCGGTATGTTCTCAATGCCCCCTTTAATTATTCGCTCCGACTGATTGCCATTAGACCGAAAAGGAGTTCGCCGCAGAGATTGCAACCTACGATGCAAAGGTGCACAAGGCAGCCGTGCAAATGGGAGATGCTATCATTGCCGAATTGCGCGGTCTGGGTATTCCATTCTTTACAATTCGGAAGGAGTTGGTTGAAGATAACCCATCCAAATTAGAAGGCTCACAGCCACGGAGCCAGACTGAGTCCACTGGAACCACCTCGTCGCCAATTGCCAAGTCTGAGCTTGTGAATTTGCAGCAACGCATGTTGGAATTGCTGGAGGATCTGTGTAAATAGTGAGATTTTATTTTGATTGATTGACGTTGACCGCTTTTTTATTCATATTCCCGGCTCGACCAAGTGTGGCTTTCGACCTTGATCTCTAAACTCGTCTTCATCGCATCCTTGATCCCGTTCCCAAGACCGAACGAATACATACCCTCGCCTAGCACCCATTTACCCCAAACCCAGCGAGCAGCATCCCTCTTTCAAACTTGAACATTGATAGTGATTTCTTCATTCGGCCTGAGCAATGGTGTTTTCTCAAATCCGACGAGAAGAGTCTTCTCTATTTGGCTTACGGGCCAGTTGTAAATTTGTACAACTTCTTGGCCATCAATCGTACCTGTGTTCTTAACCAGTACCCCGACTGACCAATAAATCCTCATGTCGTGAACATTGGTGGGCTTGCTCGAGAACACAGTGTAACTCAGGCCATAGCCAAACCACCAGAGAGGCAGCACATCCGGGTGATGATTATACCATCTGTAGCCGACTTGGGTATCTTCTTCGTATTTGACAACTTCATCAATACCTGGCCATGTTTCCTTGTCCCAATAGAAGGGAAGGTTTGTATAACGCCGTGACCAGGTGACTGGGAGTCTTCAGGAGAGGTTGGTGTTTCCAAGTAAGACATCTGGCAGAGCATTTCCAGCTTCTTGCCCTCCATACCACGCTTGAAGGAAAGTGGATGCTTTTTCAATCCATGGAAGCTCCACGGGCAACCCTGATTATATGAGGCTTTCAGGACGTTGCACGCTCGAGATGAGAGCCTCGACCAATTTGTCCTGGCTCCCTGGCAAAGCCATACTCTTTCTATCGTACCCTTCGCTTTCCCATTCTTCGTTAAGCCCCAGTACAACTATGGTCACTGCACTTTCGTTGGCTAGTGCGAGGGCCTCCTAAATTAGCTTATCGGCGCTTGGGATCTGCTGGAGGTACCCGATGCGGACAGAAGGATGAGCAGCAAAGACATGATTTGCGTCAGTGCTCGATGCATTGGCAGACAATTCACAGGTATTGACCCAAGCCTCCACCTGCACTGTATAATTATGTCAAGCCAACTTATCTCACAGGTAAGATCTGGCTTATAACATATAACTGACTCCTTACAGATTGCTGTTTATTACTATATAAGGTATTATTAACCTGCGCGTGAACGCTCAAAAGCTCTTTATCTCTTATCCAAAGCTTATCCATCCCATCGGATGTCCGTGGCGTCTAGGTACTAGTTCACTCTAGTGTTAGCCGTCTGCCAGGATGAGCTTAGGGTAAACCTACCAACTCACTTAGATAGAGGAGCAGCCCTACTGATATTCTGTATATTATTAGGCGGGATATTTCCATTGGGCTCACGATAAGACAACTACAGCTTCACAATTTAGCTTATCCATCGGCTGGGATCAACTATCTTATTTGGCTTCGAATTCCTTTGAATACCCATGATTTCTACCGACAGAATATTAGGGGGACCTTTATTTGATTCTTCTACCTTTATCTAGAACTCAATCTGTTGCCATCTTTTCCACCTGAGATCCGAAGACTTGCCTAAAATGGAGCCATCAAGTGGCAGTCCATCTCCACGAACAACCAGTGGGGATGGGAATTCTTTGTATCTTCTGGTTATGATCTGCTTAGTCGCAACGGCAAATTCCGCAACCAAGGGTTATGACTCGTCTATGATGGCAATAACAACTTCCCTAAGTAATTACAAATAATGCGTGTTAACATTATGCTAATGGCTTGGTAGAATGGCCTGCAAATAGTACCCTCATATACCGAATACTTTAGGCTCACTACGACGACGCTTGCGCTCAATGTTGCCATTGTATTTGTGGGATCGGTGATAGCCATGCCTATTGCTGGCCCAATCATTGATAATTGGGGACGAAGATGGGGCATCGCTATTACAGCAATTCTGGCAATGACAGGAGCTGCCATTCAGGGGGCTGCAGTCCACGAGGTCATGTTCTGCTGCGGTAGACTGCTCGTTGGGGTCTCTGTCACCACAGGTGCCACTGCCGCACCAACGTACGCTTCAATACGTTTTAACTTTTGCGATTAAACTTGCTAAATCCTTCTAGATATATTTCAGAAATCGCACCGCCCAAGTATCGCGTCATGCTAACAGGTTTATATGGCTGCTCATGGTATGTTGGCAGTCTTATGGCTGCAGTTATCACATATGGAAGTCAATACATCGAAAGCACGTGGTCATGGCGTCTTCCATCCCTGGTAATTATACTCCATCCATAGATTTTATCAAAAGCCCCGCTTTGAAGCTCTATTCTAATGAGTGATAAGCTACAATTTATCCCCTCGATATGCTGCCTTATCCCACTACCCTTCATACCTGAAAGCCCGCGATGGCTCATTTACAGAGACTGTTATGATGAAGCGAAGGCCATTCTTATCAAGTATCATGGCAATGGAGATCCAGATTCTACGCTTGTCAACATTGAGTACACCGAGATATGTCAAACCTTGGAGCATGAGAAATGTATGCAGAAGACGAACCTCAAGGCTCTAGTTCAAACTCGCCCCAATCGATGGAGAATAGGTGTCGTTGCTGCCACTGGTTGTACGTTGATAGCCTGCAACTTGAGATTACTTTTATTGACCTGATTTTTCAGTTTTCTGTCAAGTCAGTGGCAACAACATAATTACTTACTACCTTATTACTTACTACCTTAGCAGCGTCCTTGATGCTGCAGGTATTCAGGATACGAAAACTCAGCTCGGTATAAATATTGGAATAAGCGTTTTCAACCTTTTCACCTCCGCTACCGGTGCCTGGGCAGCTGATACAATTGGATGTCGCAGAGGCTTTTGTGAGTCACATATTATTCATAGAATGTTATCGAAAGCGTCAGTAACTAATCTTGCTCTAGTGGGCTCTACTGTTGCCATGTCTTTACTCCTCATAATCGTCGCTATTATCACAAAAGAATTTGGAGATTACCCAACAGTTTCCTCCTCAGCTGCTGAAGTGGCTATGATATTCCTCTTTTCGGTGTTTATTCTCTTATGTGGACACCATTTGCGACACTGTACCTCGTCGAGGTGTTATCATACTCGATGCGTGCAAATGGCATTTCGTTCTTCAGCACTGTCTGCTACGCCACAGCATTCCTCAATACATTCGCAATCCCATATGCTATGAATTGGTCGGCTTGGGGATTTTACCTCATCACATCCTTCTGGAATCTATTGGTGGAGGTCCCTATCATGTACTTTTACTTCCCAGCAACTGAGAATAAGACGCTGGAGGAGATTGATATCATATTTGAGGGCGTCAGACACACAGAGACTACAATGACAGTTCGTGACCTCCTTCAAGGGGGAAAACAAGCCGAAGGAGGTATCAAAATTGTGGATGAAGAGGGTTGAATTTGCGGCAGCAATTACCTCTACTCTGGGAACAATGCCATGTAGTGGCTTCATCCTGTGAGAAACTTTTCAGGCCAAGGTAGAATATATTTTCTCATGATTTATTTGACACCAGCCGGATTAATCATGCCTACATTGCAAAAAGCCAAGAAAGCGAAAACCCTCAGAGTAGAACGTCCCGTGTTATTCAAATTGCTAGGCGGGCTACCACGTTTCTAGCCTTAGCTTGCACCGTAACTGATGGGCAGATTTTGGAGCCTTTTGGTATTAAATCGGAAAACATAGGTCGACAGGCACGGAAGTATACTTAAACCAAGGCGTCGACAACCCCCTGATTATGGGGAACGATCACCTTCCAAAAGAATAACTCAGGTGGTTAATAATATATTGAATCGGTGCTGCGCGATATGTGTCTGGTGCGGGGAACGAAAGATCGGTGGTGTTGGCATCGAATGTCATCTACTGCGGGTTTGAAACGGAATATGAAGGCCAGTGAGACTGGTTGACAACTATGAAACACGAACCAGTTAACCTCAATAGACATTATAATAAAGAATTCAAAAACAGCCGATATAAAGTAACGAATGGAAACTTACCACCAGCACCGTTGGGATCTCCATCAACAATAAAGTTGACCCAGTACCTTGACATGATATTCGACAGTTCTTTATAACTTGCGGGCATATTGGCAAATGGTGATTCCGCATATCCAAGACCTAGGATGTTGTAAAACATGAATGACACCTCGGTAAAATGAGCTGATCCAGCTGATAGCGGCATTCCATTGGATCTCACGTTGAACAGGTAGTTCCAATTGGGAACATTGTATTGGGCCAATATTTGGCTGGTCAACCGGCGAGGCGCGTGCCACATCAGGTCAGTGATAAAAGCCGAAATGGGTTTGTACTGAAAGCCCAGTGCTGCAGATGGCCGACCTTTCAATGTTGACGGGATTCCAATGGCGGGAATGTCTGGGTATAGTGCCGCAATACCGCGCATAGTGGCGTTATCAGACGTCCGTCGTCTCACTTGGGCATAAAAATCTTCGTCTGTGTTAACGCCCGTGATAGCGAAAATTGTGGCTTCGTCATGATTTTGCCCATGTAACACTGGCACTTTGATGAACCGTCCAGCGACAAGCGCCTCCCGAGCATTCTCCCGAATAAAGTCTCCGTCTATTTCCATGCCCCAAGATGGGATTGAGGCTGCCACACTGCTGTTGAAAACGGCGAAGAGTGACTCGACAGGCACAGACCAAAGACACGCCAGTGTATCAACTGGTCTAGTTCAATTGGTGGCCCGGAGAATGTTGTGGTATTAGACATCCCATTCCTTTGGACTGTTGTATCGGTATGGATTAATAGGACCTCCACTTTCCAGCATGGCTCCCCGGAAGAGACCCTGGTTTTGACTGCCGTATGCAATCAATTGGGCTCCTGTGCTTTCTGCTCCCGCACTCTCGCCCCAGATAGTCACCTTGGAAGGGTCTCCACCAAACGCGGCAATGTTTTCATGAATCCAACGAAGCGCCAAATGCTGATCTTTGTAGCCAAGGTTTCCAACACCGGAATCCACGATAGCCGAGCCAAACATGAAGCCAAACAGTTGCAGCCGATACTGGATATTGACACCAATGAACGGCTTGCCTGCAGTGACAGATTGTTGGACAAGGAAGGTCATGTTGTAGTTGGGGTCCTGGTTTGAGCCCGTTGTGTGGCCTCCACCGTGTATCCATACACCAACGGGCAGTTTGTCACCTGGCTTGACGCCGCTGGGTCGCACCACATTGAGATTCAGGCAATCCTCCGAATATGGTATTTCGGGAAACTGGGGTGGCCCGAAGTTGTAACAGGCCGAGGCGAAGATAGTGGCGTCGGCACTTCCGTCCCATGATGTGTTGAGAGAGACCGGGTTGTGGAAGCGTAGATCGCCCACTGGCGGCTGAGCATAGGGTATTCCTAGGAAGAAGTCTTGATCATACTCAGCGTTGTAGCGACCAGCGTATGTTCCGTTTTTGACGATGGCAGTAGGAGTTGCTTGTTGTCTGGCTGTCAATGGACTTGCCGTTGTAAGATGGCAAAGCGCCGCCCCAAGGAGCCCAAGCTCTAGAGTAAACAGCAACATCGGGGATTAAACGCAAGGACGTAAGCTGGTGTACCGAGATTGATAAATTCAAATCGTTGTTTGACAAGTGGTCTACTACACCGAGATATTCACGCCCATATATGGATTTTGTAAGTATATGGATATATCTATCTATGAATCTGCCAATATGCCAAGGCCCACCAGAGAATAATCGGGTACATCCTTTCGCCAGTGCGTCGCCAATAATGTTTCAGGCTGCTTCGTGGAGGAGATAATAAGAACATGACGGGGTCCATGTTTAGAATACATAAAATTGCCGACAATAAGGACCACCAACTATTTGTAGGAAGGCTTTAACTATAGGGGAAAGGTTGATGGTTTCCCACTCCATAACCCTTATACAATGTAGGCAAGATGATTTTATATTGATTGAAACCACAATTAATAATTCGCGCAGTTGCTTGGCCAACGCTCTGCAATATACGCGTCATGGCAATAAATAGCATTATATATCCGATTGGTAATGATCATGGAGTACACAGCCTTGAAAGGGTCCCAAGATTGTCGACCAGAGCCCTAATTAGGATGCAGAAAGTGATCAGCCAACTTTAAGATTACGGATCTGCAGATTGATGACATTCGTTATATGATTGGTCAGTTATGGGGAGATTAGGGAAATGAGCGGCCCTCTGAATTAGCGTGGTTTGCACCGGATGTTTTCGTTATACTCTTAAAACATAGATGTCTACCCACATGGTGTGGTGCTGACGCGGCGTATATTGAGCGTTTCCCTCGCCTACCAAGGTGAAAGTGGTGGCGTGCCGCGATACCTCGAGAACCCCTACTAGAGCGCCGATGATGCCCGAAACGCCGCGACCTACCTCTCAACCTTGGAAATCGTGGACCCCAACCGGATCGGAGCATTGGGGGTTTGCGTATCGGGAGGCTATATGCCATTTGATGTTCAGACCGACAAGCGTATGAAGGCAGTGATTAGACCTCCGCAGAGCCCATAGAGCCTAAGGCCCAGCCCAACCCAACCCGCAAATGGGTTGGGTTTTGGGCCCGGTCCTTAGGCCCATCGATGGGCTATGGGCTTATACCTCGAGCCCACTGTGGGTTAATAAGGGCCCAAATAGGCCCCAAAATATTTATCCAAGAGCTGCAATGCCTTAGTTCGAATCTCTTGTAGGCCATTGTTCTCTGGCCAATTGATCTCATCCGAGCTTAGCAGCAAGCTGCCATCAGCTCCACCAGCGTCATGAAACCCAAGTCTTACAGAGGCTCGACCAAGGCCGTTGCACGTCCCATTTTCATTACGAAATGACTCGACCAATTCTTGTTGTACAAAGTCCCAGACGCAACATGAATCAGCCTGACAGAGGGCAGTTCCCAGATCGCCAGGGCGGTTATAGCTCTACTAGGAATTAGGTGGATCTCGATTCCACAGCCTACCAATGAAAGGTCGAGTGTCATCAATTCACTGCTAAGGTTCCTTGGCAGCTCGTCTGATGAAGAAACACACGTCTCATTGGTCTCCACTAATGTGGGGTTTCGGCCGAACAACGTTAATTGGTCAATAGGAAGTTAAAAGTAACCTTGGAACCCGTCGAAGGATCATTCCAAGGTTCGGTTCCACAATCGAGGTGTAGGTATCTTTATGATTTGCGTACCCCTGACCTCGGGATGTCTCCAAATGATTTATTTCATGTGGTGGAAATAAAATTATAGTTAACTCCGGTCGGCCGATGTATGTCTTCTTGACATAATTCACAACATTGTTTGAGCTCTTTAGAAGGTTTTTTTGACATGCAGTCAATATATTTCTGGGTGGTCATATTGCTCGGAAAAGCTTTTCATTGCCCCTTCGATCCATTGCCACTAAAGCAAGGATGGAAATATGCCAAGAGCAGCTGTGAATATGATCCTTGGCACCACGACTGTTGGTAAGCCTGGTGAATAGTGCTAACTATGCTATTTATATGAGGTTGGAAATGATACACGGACATCCAATAGCTCGAGACACCAGGGTGTCACGGTCTCTATTTTCTTTTTTTTATGAAAAACCAAAGGAAACTCGAGTCATCTGTCATAATGTTCGAAATATGACGTCTAATTTCCAATGCGCCAAAGCCACAGTGACAGATTATTAGGTTGCCATGTTGTTAAAGCCCAAAGAAAGAACCAGCTTGTGGCAGTGGGCCGCATGGTTTGGCCCATTAAAAAAGAAAATCTTTCGGTGCCATAAAAGCAAGTTCTTTGTGGAGAAATAACAGAACGCGCTGTCGACGCGGTCCATCTAGAGTGCTTTGATCTTACGGGTAAGGTCGTGTCACCTCGTGATGTAGCCGCCATGCGAGGCGTAAGTGTGAGGGACTATGTAGTATCGACATAGTGTTGGTCAACACGCCCAAGCGCTTGTCAAGCCGCGATTAAGTTTGGCGAAGGTCTGCGCGAAGCCAGTGCTTTCTGCCAGGACAAACGAGACAAGACCAACCTATGGAAGTGAGGACCATCCTATGTCGTTAGCCTGGTCTAATTCCCGTACCCATGCTTCCATATTGAAGTGAGGTTGAGTGATATCTTCGAACATCACTGTGCTGTCAAACGGAATGTCGTCAGGCAATGAAATGCCAGACCCAGAGGTATATGCAAGGATCTCCGAAGGCTGGCCAGGAGATTCTTCGATGTGGGCCCCGCCGGAAAATGGGGCGTGCATGAACGAAGCAGCAGCAACGGGATTTGCCCCATACGCAGCAGCGCCTTGCAAACTGGACCGAACCTGCGCTGATGCTTGCATTTTCTGGTAGCAAAGTTTCAAGAGTCTTGAGCCCGGCTCTGCCAAAGAGACTCTCTCCTGTGCCAGTTCAAGGCGATGAATGGCCTTCCGGATTGCACGAAGGATCCCATGTAGTATACCCATATCTGCAGGTGGATATTCTAGAATTGTGACACACAGAAATATACTGGCTCCAAGAGTGTAAATACAGAGAGCATAGATGCTAGAGTAACTAGTGGCCATGAGATCAAAAAGCTGTTCTTGCGCGTCCAACGTAGCAAGAGCCGCTTGAGTTGCAGCGTGTCGACTAGCAGTGTGTGTTCTGGCATGTGGCGTATGTAATGCCATGAGAAACGAGTTTGCGGTGGTCGATATTTGCTGACGTTGTTTGGGTATATGGGGGTAACTTGCGTCCCAGGACGTATCCGGATTCATCGGTCGATGAACAGGTGGAAGGTCGCTCAATAACGATATAATCCTGTCGTGGGTGCTTTGGATCAAGGCATAATCTATGAAATTCTTCTTGTGGGCACCCAAAGACATCACCTCATGAGAATGTTGAGAGACGGCGTATTGGAAAAGATGTGGTGTATAAGATGAGGGAGGCTCATGTGGAGCTAAAGTCATCGGTATCCTGGTTGACGGGTCGGCTGGTATATCGCAATCTAACGGCGGAGTGATTGTACAGTCACTGACGTTGATGGCGCGTGGTCGACCTAGGGAAAAGGCCATGTGGCTGCTCTTATTAGGATGGGTCTAGAGAGGAAAAAGAGAAGCCTCACCTGTCCCAAGAGAACAACTTGATCCATAGCCTGCGTTTGTACTCATCATACCACAGCTCGGTGAGCGTTTCCTCCAGTGTAGACCGTGGTGTTTGATAAACTTTGCTCTGCTGATGGAGGCCAAGATCTTGGGCTTTTCTGGTTGGGATGAGAAAATCGCCTTCCTTTTGAGATATGTAGGGACTGACCTGATTGCACCACCTAGTGCATGCCATGCTTCTCTTCCACGACTGCAATTCTTCAACCACAATGCCCGCATAAGGTCGTTTTGCACAGCAGTAATCGTAGGATCCAGCGTTTCCAGTATGCGCGCGATCTCGACTCCGCTTGTGGAGAAATTGCTAGAAAGATGATCACGCGCGTTGAAACTATCCACTCCTAGAGCACGGCTACAATTCTTGTCCGGCGAGACGAACTGTAAAGACACAGAAAGAACGTGGAATATCAGCGCCGAGAAATGGAGAAGATCTGGTGGTACATCGGCAACCTGGCCATGTTCTGTTGAGGAATCGTTGAGAGAACACCAAGAATTGTAAAGTTTCTCAAAATAATGTTGTTCTAGTATAGCAAAGTACCAATTGGCTTCGACAAAATAAATATTGATAAGTTCTCGCGTAACTAGTCGATGTGGTAACCTAGCGCAAATATTGCAGAGTTCTTGCCTTGCAGCCTCAGGGAGAGGAATGATGCGTTGAAAGTTCCCAGGCTGAAATTGTCTGTCGGCTTCGACCATCTGCTCCTAATACTGTTAGCCTTAAATTTAAATCAAGTCATAAAACACAAAACTGACCTCGTGCACTTTTGACATATAGTTGTCGTCACCAGTGTAAGCATATCCGACTTGGCTCCTTAACTGGTAATCTCTACCTGTATCAAGTGCCGAAGACCGATCACCAATTGTTGAAGCCGGCGGGCTTTGCAATACGGTTATAGGGCCCCCATGGGTTACCTCTCCGGCACTTGGATAATCATAATTACACATTGTTGGAACGTTCCTTCCAATGCAATGGTTGCATGGTCGTTCACGATCACACTACTTGCAAGTTAGCAACTACCGCATATGTATCGTAGTTGATTGGAGTGAACCTTTTGTTTCCTGCGCCGACATTCTGTACATGCTGTTACGGGTCTTTTTCGAAAAGACATTGCCTGAGTCTGCATCGCGGACAAAATCTCACAGCAACTAGCGTGGCGAAGGGGTCGGCTTCAAATTGGACACCCGTGGACCCGTGGACCCGGTTTGTAGCTTAGTCACCACACACTATAAATCCGTCGACTTGCACTATTTCTCTTCACATACAGGCCATTGGATAAACTGTTCGAGTCTCACAATGGTCGCATTGATTAAAGCTAGTCACATGGCATGGTAGATCACAAATATGGGACTGTCAGAACTTTGAAGAACATTCTCGAGAAATGGTTTGTATAGGTTCTGCTTCCATGCAGCTTTTAAAACTACCAGTAAACAAGAAAATGACGCCAAAAAGAAGAGATATTTCCAAGGCAGTTGGAAATTCTCCAAAGGATCTGTTATAGCGCCACCTCCCCCTTGTTGCATGGAATCTAGACAATAATTTTCCCCGACCTTGTGAAATTTGTCCAGGTATGATGGGTCGAATCCTCCACTGTTTCCCCAGCGTGTCTCGCTGTTTATGTTGTAGCAAAGTCTGAAGATATCATCAAATTTGGAGCTGTAGTCACCGTCAAATACCGCCTTGTAGTGAGCTTTCAGTTCGTACAGATATGAGGCACAGTTCGGTGACAAGGTTGTATAAAAAGAGGTCACAGAGCTCGACACATCTTCTGCCATTTGGAGTCCATTGAAGGAGTGGTTTGGGGTTAGGATAGCTGCAACGAGAGTGAAAGAATGGCTAAGCAATGATGCGAGTATGAAAAGCAAGGAATATAACATGATAGAATATCTCTCCGTTTTGCTTTCTTCGAAGAGTCGGAATGAAAATCAGAACCAAGTGGAAGATTATTGTACGTGATAGGAGTTGATAGGTTCTCTAGTCCTTTTGACTATATGATCCTTGCTTTTTCAGCATCTATATTTTTAATTTTTGGCCAAGACATTACTTCGGCCGACGAGGACCCACATGAGCTTCACTACACGAATATCAGAACATCGTTAATGTTGATCAAAATTCCAGTTATAGACTGGTACATCAGTTTCGGCCGAAAATTAAAGTGATCCATCGGAGTTACTACCAATTCTCAACCACATTGGATGCCCACATCCAAATTACTGGTAATGAATTGGCGTGGCATGAATCATAACCTCCCATGATTGGCAAAAAGCTCAACTGACTCAATTTTCTGCAGATTATTGCCATGCTCAGACGAGCCACGCAATATCCAATAGTTTGGAAGCATAGGCAGCATTATTTTTAAGGTATTCATGGAATTTGTCGAAATGCCAAGACGGTTATACAAAGAGGTCAGTCATCTGCTTGTCTCCGCCGTTTTCCCGACGGACTTAAGCTGGTCTTCTCAGTGCCATAGGTCTACTACTAGCTTAATGATTGCTTAGCATGCAGCGTGATTCCTCGTATTCTACTTCTCCATCTGTCATCGCCAACTACTCTCTCGAGCTTGGACAGGACTGTGACTGGTCGGGGATAAGCGATCCCAAAGTGCGGAGAAAGCTGCAGAATCGGTTGAATCAGAGGGCCCATCGTATGTGGCATTCCACTACCCTTCATGAATAATCCATACGCATAGACAATAAGCTAACCCGAGGGCAGGAAAACGAAAGCTTGATCAAAGTGGTCAAGTTACCGAAGGTGGGCTCTCCACACCTAAGAGCAGAAACAAAACAAAATGCCCAAAAAGGTGGCTGTCAGCCGATGAGGCCGAAAATCTCCTGGAGAAATTTAGCACATCCTCATTCGACAGTTATGCGCAAGGGTCCCCAACAGGAGACCACCTAATAATACTCACCAGGTTAAATGTTTACCGTGCATTTATCCAAAATCTTTCCATCCTTGGGATAACACCTCACCGTGATTGGAAATCGCGAAACATAACTTCCCCATTCAACACCTGGACACCGGAGCAAATCAACGACAAAAAGCTACCGATCAGTCTCCGGCCAACGCAAATACAATGCAAGATTCCCCATCACCCTTGGCTGGATTTTTTCCCGTTTCGCAGAATGCGTGACAACCTGATTTCTGCCCGTGATGAGTTCGACGATGGTCAATTATGTGTCGATATCATGGGATTCTGGGATATCTCGACGAAGAGCTGCAACTTGCTGGTGTGGGGGGAGCCTTCGGATCCGAAGAGCTGGGAGATTACGGAGGAATTTTTAAAGAAATGGCCGTGGGTGATAAGGGGAGAGCCGGAGTTATTAGAGTCTACGAATTATTGGCGGAGGAAGCGAGGAGATGACATTATATTTCGTTACCTTTGAATTATCAGCGATCCTTGAAGCTTTTACGATGATAGGCAGAGACAACATACAATACACCCGCATGTCTTGGGTAACTCAAAATGTGACATTTTATGGGAATGTACACTTCAGGGTCGGGTGCTCCAGAAGATTTGAACATCCAGTGCCCTCAAGATGGCGTTATGGGTGTGTTCTTTGCGAAGGTTGGTCCACTCGTGGACGGGCGTTGTGCTCAGTCATCCAGCTTATGTAACCACCACCGCAGCGTGACCTCGAGTTGTGGACCTCAGCCAGTGATTCTACTTTGTACATTTGTCGGTCTGTCCATATTTCCAATCTGTTCTATGTTAGCTTTGGGTGAACAGTTCTAATACTTAAATAAGCACTTCAAATCAGATTTTTCCTTTGACCTGGAACTTGTCGGAATGCCTCGGCCGACCGCTCGCCAAACGCCGATAGCCCCCGGGGATTGAAACGTCAACCTTACATTCTATCATTTCTTAGGCATGACTCCGGCAAGATCAACAAAAACAACCGGTCTAGCCTCACTGGCTTGTACCGAGTGCAGAAAACAGCATCTCAAATGTGACGCTAGTAAACCATCATGTTCACGATGTGTCCAAAATGGATTACTCTGTCAATATCTACCCTCCCGACGGGGCGGACGCAGGAAATCACGACTTGAGAGTCCATATCAACGTCACCCGCAAACCCATGTCAATGTCAGTTCTCCTTATTATTAATTATTATTTGTAGTTCTTTACTAAATCAATCCTAGACCCGATATCAATCTACGGTCCCTGTTCTGCCAATAGCCCCTGCACAGACCACACCAGAAAATCCTTCGACGCAGGCAGTCAGACAGACAGAACTCGATATTCCCACTGAGCCTGTCTCTTGGCCAGTGATACTTTCGGGAAATGCTCCTGTTCAGCAAACTGTGGAACCAGCAACCAAACTGTCGCTCCATGATGAGCGCCTGCCTCGATTGTACTATGAGAATTTCCACGTGGCCCATCCGATCTTGGTGCCCAGCTCCTTGTATCATGACCACAATTACCCTCACTTCTTACAGCTGGCTGTGCATTTTGTGGGCTCTCATTATATTGCGTCTATCCCGAGTCAGCCATACAAGGAACAAGTCGTTGCCGAGCTGAAGACAAACCCTGATCGGTCGGCTTCCATGGTCCAGGCTTGGCTACTATATTCCATTGCCCTGTATGCTCGCGATGAATGGACTGAGGCACAACATGCCCTCACCCGTAGCATTGATATCGCTTTGGAGCTTGGCATGAACCGTTGGTCATTCGCTTCATCCACGAACCCCGAAAGATCTCTTGAAGCCGAAAGCATGAGACGAACATGGTGGGAACTCTACGTCACCGATATCTTCATGGCAGTCCCGCTTAAAACCACCACATTTCGGTGTAGCACAGTATCGCCGGAGGTGGCCTTGCCCTGTGAAGAGTCAACGTATAACTGTGCGGGTGATATTCCAAAACCGCGTATGATGATCGAGTTCAAGCGGAGGATACTCGCGGCAGAGGATACTGTCTTTTCGTCACTGAGCTACCGCATCGAGGCCACAACAATATTATGCCGGGTGCTTGTCCTGAACCGACTACGCGACTGTCATCGCGATCACCTCCAAGCTGTCGAAAATGCACTAGTGAGCTGGATCAACCACCTACCGCCCAAAAAGCTCGACATTGTTGATTCATACGGCAACGTTGACGAAATGATGTTTCAAGCGCATTTGACAATAGCCTACGCCGCCATGCTCCTACACTTACCTCGAAGCGACCTTCCACCTGTGTTGTCCCAGTCCGAACCAGATGATCGCTTCTGGCCTGGTCTGACTAGCCAGCTCTCACCGACATTCACTCGTCTAGTTCACAGCATCAAAGCAACAGAGGCTTCGAGGCGAATCTCAGATTCCATATCTGTTTGTCCAAACATCTCGAAGCACACCCCCTTCATCATTCCCGCCCTTACCCTCTGTGGACTCATCCAGCTCGCCACATCCACCAGCCATTCCGAGGAGTGTTTCGACCATCACTGCAACCGTGTCACACTCATTCTAGGATGTCTCAAGAGCACCAAGCGGACATGGAAACTGGCCGAGTCCCTATACCATGCTATTCGGTCCTCTGCGGCGGAAGTCTTGTCGGATTCGATGGAGAAATGGAATGCAGAGCCACTACATCGATTCACCCCGGCAGCCACAACGCCTAGTGACCAAGAAGGACACAGCTCCAATGCCAATCCAGCCCTAATTATGCCAGACGGGCATGATTTCATGCCGCCGGAGTTCTCCCCGCAATTCATCGATCCAACTTGTTATAATGCTTCGTTTTTCAGCGCTATTCCCGACTTTGATATAAATTAGATCGGTTATACCCGGGAGCGATTGTAGTAATTCAATATATTTTGCAAAGAAAAAACAAAGAACTTATTACGCTTGATGTCATTTTTACCTAACGGTTTTTGGGGTAAACATCAGCTGGACTCGTCATGCAGCAAGCTATTTATTATTAGCTCTCAGGTCCCAATGAAGTAAATGTCAACGATATGTAACAATGATA